CAAACTATCCAGGGCAAGATGAACATTTTTTAATAGAAAAAAACACATAGTTATAAAAATCATAAGCAACAAATAAAGATAATCCAATTTTCTTCCCTTTTAAGTATCATCATTAAAAAAGAGTTTGGATCAGTGTGGTTTCAAAGAAAAGACTGTATACTAATTTTATGTATATTAATTTTTATGTAAAATTACATGTACTGTAAATATATTAATTTTACATGTACAGAATATTTGGATGCTAATTTTTGCTTTACTGCTATGATTAGGACTTCTAGTACAAAGGTGAATAGAAGCAGTGAGAGTAGACACACATCTCATTTCTAATTGTAAAGGGAACACTTCTAATGTTTCAGCATCAAATATGACATTTACTGAAGGTCTTGGTAGAAATCCTTTATGCAGAATGATAAAAAAGTTACTTTTCTATTTCCAGTTTGCTAAGTGTTTTTATTATGATAAGATACTGGATCTTATCAAACACCCTTTGGAAGTCATTAAGAAAATAATGTTTTTTCTCCTCTAATCTATTAATGTGGGAATTGCTTTAACATTTTTTTTCCGATGTCAAGCCCATTCTTTAACTTTAGATAAAACTTCTTTGGTCACAACAAATGTTTTAAATACATGGCTGGATTCCGTTTTCATTATTTTATTTAGGATTTTTAGCATCTAATTTTACAAGTGATATTTGCCTTTAATTTTCCCTAATCATACTTCCTCCTCTAGTTTTGACATCAAGGCTGTCCAAGCCTTATATAATGATTTGAGAAGCAAACATAATTTTAGTCTCTAGATCAGTTTATATCAGATTAGAATTGTTCATAGAATTTTCTTGTAAAAATGGTTAGGCCTTCTTGGATTTTTAGTCAATAAGATTTTTTAAACAATTGATTGATTCTCTTTAATGGTTACAGACCCTTTTTATTTTCTATTTCTTCTTGAGTTCTATTGAAATATTTTCCCAAGACTATGTACATTCGGACAGTTTCACTGATTATTTCCATGCAATAAAAAGAGCAGTGAGTTTAAAGGGCCTTGTTTAAACTCCCAGTTCCATTATTTACCAGGCATTGTGTTCCAGGCTCTGAATCTGCTTCCTCATTTATTAACCAGACATAATAATTCCTAGCTCAAAGAGCTCTTAGGAGTATACTTAATTGTTTGATAGTGTACTGCAAGCACTATAGACTATATGACATTATACTCTTAAAAGACATTACTCTAAAACACAAATAAATAATAATTATGATATTCCACCACTAAAGCCTTTGGCTATGGGATAGGAATTCAAATTGCAGACTCTTGGAAATGGATGATCAAGTAGTTTAAGAATCTATCATTATCTACCTCCACAGAACACCTAAAGGACCAAATATCCACTACATCACAATGTAGCCCTCTCTGTCTCTGGAGAGCTACACTACTTAAAAGTTCTTTATGCTGAGCCACAAGATCCTACTCCCCACAGCCCCATTTGGTCTACTTTTTTCTTTTCTTGGAGAGAAATCAAGTTTTTGCTATAACAACCTTAAAATATTTAAAGTCAATTATAATCTTCTTGCCAATAATGGAAAGAATATGGATTTGGAATTAAGACAGGTGGTTTTGCTATGTGAAGATTGCTGTTCTTATAAAAGAGACCCTGGAGCGCTCCCTCGCCCTTCCTCCATGGGAGGGTACGATGTAAAGATGGCCATCTATGAATCAGGAAGAGGGCTCTCACCAGAAACCAAATCTGCTGGGGCTTGGTCTTGGACTTCCCAGCTTCTAGAGCTGTGAGGAATAAATTTCTGTTCTTTATAAGCCACCCTGGGCCTATGGTATTCTACTCCAGCAACCCAACTGAACTCAGGCAAGAGGATTATGGTCTATTTTCATATTTGACACTATTCTGCACTTCATTCAGAGGTGCCTCGGAAGCCATACAAGATGTTCTGAATTTGATATACAGTATAGTGAATCCCCTTTGTTTTCTTTTCAAAGGGGAGATTCTCATTCCTCACTCCCATCTATAAATTAATGAAGAAATGTATTATAGTTAGAGTCACACAAAAATCAAGAAGCACATTAAGTCTAGATAAAACATGGGATACGTTGCAAGATTATAAAGGTAACATTTGACTGAGACTCGGAGGTGTCAGGGAGTGAGCACATTGGATATCAGTAGATGTTCCCACATAGGTGAAAAAGCTGCAGCTAAGCAGCCACAAGGAGGCCAAGGTGGTTGAACCGAGATGGGGCAGGTCAGGCAGGTAATGGAGAATGGATCTGTAGGGCTTTAAGGTCACTGCAAGGACTGTGGCTTGTGCTCTGTGTCAAATGGAGAGTCACTGCAGAGTCTGAGAAGAATGACATGACTGGATTCCCATTTCAAAAGGATCACCTTGGCTCCTTTATTGAGAATGAACTGAGGAAAACAGAGGAGCAAGGGTATAAGCAAAAATGTTATTATTTTCTGATGTAATTCACATTGGTTCTGTCCAAGGTGGTTGAAATGATAAGTGCAGTGGTCACCCCTTATCCATCGGGGATACATTCCAAGACCCCCAGCAAATGCCTGAAACTGTGAATAGCACCAAACCCTATCTATATTGTTTTTTTCCTATACATAAAGTTTAACTGAAATATCAGGAAAAGTAAGAAATTCACAATAATAAAACACAACAATTATAACAATATACCATAATAAAAGTTATGTGAATGTTGTCTTTTTCTCTTTAATAATTGATCAGATAACTTAGGTGGCTACTAAGTGAGTAAGAGGCAGGTAGAATATACAGCGTGGATGTGCTGGAAAGCGATGAGTCAGTCGCAGGTGGGACAGGGCAGGATGGTTTGAGATTTCATCATGCTACTCAGAACAGTGCACAATTTAAAACATGAAGTATTTTATTTCTGGAATTTTCCATTAATATTTGTGGGTTAGGTTGGCAGTGGGTAACTGAAACCATGGCTAAGATTAAGGGGAGAAGCTACTGTGTTTGGATTCTGGATATATTTTGACAGTAGAGAAAATAGAATACCCTAATGGATTGTATATATGAGATGCAGGAGACCTATGTTAGAAGAAATCTCAACCAGGAAAAGTCAAGAAGAGACAAGAAAAAAATAGATGGGGTTGTAAGAGACCTAGGGAGAGACCTGGGGAAAAATATTGATGAGTTCCTGTTCTTCAACCTCAGCTAGTGATAATAAAACCCATGACCCTTTAACACAATGAAGAATATACTCCAACAAGAAAACAGAACACTTCACTCAGAGGTGCCTCTGGAGCCAGACAAGGTGTTCCAAAACTGATATATAGGATAGTGAGTCCCTCTGGTTTTCTTTCAAAATGAAAAGAAGAGGAAAAGACAAAAATGCAGTAATACAATACAGTGCAAACCTTGAAGATTGATATCATCCAAAGCTATGGGCTAAAGATATTCTGTATAGTGATATTTTTTACAATAGCGTGTGTTTTTTATAGGTCAAAATAAAGAAGACCTGTTCTGTCTTACACTGTATTTAATGTCCCCTGTGTCTTGGAATGCCAGAACATCTCTCTTTGTGAACTGTCACATCACTGCTGATGGCAGCTTTGTCCCGGCAGCAATGATTATTAAGCAGAGCCGCTACACAGCATAAAAGTGAACAAAGAGGGCACCAGAGAACAAAAATAAAGAATGAAGCGGGGGCGCTAATATTAAATCTGATAGTGGAAATGCATATTGCACTCTTTAATTATAACAAATACCTATATTTAAAGGTGACAGGTTTTTTTTCTCTTTTTCTAAAAAAGTATATGTAGACTTCTGTAAGGCTAATTTAATTTTCCTTCCTTTTTTCTCTCTGTTCCAGTAATCTAATTGCATATTGTTATACTGTGCCAACAGCTCTCCCAGGAGAAGAGGGGGAAAAAACCAACAACATAAAACTGCAGAAACCGGCACCCATCTGCTCCTTTATCACTGGCACCATTTCAATGATGTTTATAATTCTTTTTACAGTAATGAAGTATCTGCTCAGTGGTTAATAATTCAAAATACAGTAAAACTAAACCAAACAAATGGTCCCAATATAAGAAATCAGCATAAGAAATAAGTTTGGACATAATGCAGTAGCTGTCAGAAGGAAGAAAAGCAACATGTTTTATGGGCAGAGCACCGAGGTGTAGATTAAAAGATGTAGTGTCTACTCAAGAATGGCAGCGGCATTTTTTTTTCTTCTGAAAAATCTGATTACATTACTGTTAAATCATTTGTTTGATGTCTTAGTAATCGAAAATTGCCTTCTGGGAGCCACCTTCTACCCTGTTATTGCAACAACTGATATTTCTGTTGGATCTGTTACATCATCATGAAAGATGGATTTCATCGGTGTCAATCCAAGAATCTCTTCTCCACCTCATCTACCCAAATCTCCTTAACTTTTCACCTTAAGCCTCTGCATTTCAAAGACAGAAAGGATGCTTCCCACAGCTTATTCACCAAATGCATCAACTGGCACAATTACCTACATATATACTTTTACTTTCAACCACTAAATATATTTCAAATGCACCAGGATTGGAAATAACTCTCACATAGAGAGGGTTTAACTCTTTCCAATAATAAATCCCTAGAATTCTGGGGCAGAGAAACAATGATTCTACATGGAATCCTTGAATATAAACTTTGAAAACAACTGGAACTGGATTTGATAGAAAGTACTAGTAAATGAAATTTCGCATGGAGAGGACTTCTAGCAAGGTTTTCTCTCTCTTGACCTGGGCGGTGGTTCCATAGGAGTTTATAGCTATTCTTTAAACCATCTGAGCACTAGACATGCATCTGTATGTATGACCAGACAGCTGGTCCTACATATCCACAAGTTTTGCAGCCACAGACTCAATCAACTGCTGATCAAAAATGTTAGGAGGAAAAATCTCAGAAACTTCCAAAAAACAAAAATTGATTTTGCCTTGTACCAAGCCCTACGTGAGTCCATATGCATGAATGATGGTAGGCATACCTTGCTGTAGCCTGTACGCAAATATAGGCTATGTGCAAATACTACTCCATTTGATATAAGACTTCAGCATCGCAAATGTTGGTATCCGTGGGGGTCCTGGGATCAATCCCCTGTGGATACCGAGACATAACTGTACGCCACATTTAAAAAGTAATAAAATTTTCTTTACAGATCTTTTAGGAATTTAAATACTTAGGTGTACTTCTAATGAGATTCAGGGAGTTGGAGGTGGTATTTCAAGGTATGTTTCAGACTCTGATTCTATATTTATTACATATTAGTCAATCCATCACTGTCAACTCTCCATATTAAAAAATATTTCAAGATGAAAAACCAGAAACTCCTCCGTCTTAATCAAGATTTTAAAGCAAGAATTAAAGACATTCATGATATATGTGTTATCATTAATGAATGTGACTATGCTAAGAAGCTGCAAATTTGCCCTCTCTGCCCTATTTTCTTCCTATTTTATTTACTGATGATAAACACAAACTTATTATGAACTATCCCCTTTGAACTCACAATACATTAAAAACAAAAAAGCAGACTTCGACCTTCAGAGCACAATTACAATAATGCCACATTTCTCTTTTAAATAATAAAAATTATCATGCAAGTAAAGCCTTCAGAGTTTAAATAAATTTCTCTGCCATGCATGAAGAAAACAAAATTTAAGAAAATTATCAAATTATAACCATGTCTTTTCTTCCCTTATTTCCATTATATCTCACTGAATTTATCTGTTTACTGCCTTGTAATTAGCATTTTAGAAGGAACTGTATAAAAATGTTCTTAAATGTTGCTCTTTTCACACACACACAAAAAAATAAAGTGAAGTGTTTGTGGTGTTTATATTCTTTCCCGTTTTAGGGAATAAGTCATATCCAAAGAACATAATGGCCATTTTGTAAGGCTGGTATAATTAAAAAGAGTGAAATCATATGTAGACTTTAAAAGACTTTACCAGTAATAGTGGAAAATGCCATAATATTTAAAGACAATCACTGGTAATCTGTAAATGGGTGATACTTACTTTTTAAAAAGCAAATGGAAAAATGGCAAAGAGTTTTAAAATTGTAAAAATGAACTCAAAGGTGACGGAAGAAATTAAATTAAATTTACAAAAAGAATGAACTCACTATCATCAATTTCTTTCCATCTTAGGCGTGGGCAAACAAATAAAAGCATGTGTAATTAAATATTCAAAATATAATTTCTATTTTTAAATGTTGCATTAAAATGTTTAAAATTTCTTTCCATGAAAAATTATAAATACCTACACTGATTCCTATAAATGGGTGATGACATCATCCATATAAAATATTTCTTCAGGCCCTGGCATTTTTCTCAGTGTTACAGTATAATTTAAGGTAAGCCACATAATGGATTGCATTATAATGAATCATATAGATCTTCAAATGACTTATCTAATTTCACTTTACAGTCTAAAAGCACATATATAACCATGTTGTCTCTCTACATGTC